CGCTGGGGATGGGGAGGGGGGGAGGGGGGTTCGCTGGGGGATGAGGGGAGGGGAAGGGGGGTTCGCTGGGGATGAGGGGAGGGGGAGGGGGTTCGCTGGGGATGAGGAGGGGGGGAGGGGGGTTCTCTGGGGATTAGGGGAGGGGAAGGGGTACGTAAAGGGTAAGGGGAAAGGGGCAGGGATAGGGGTGAGGGGAAGGAGGAATAGGAGTAAGGGGAGGGGGAGGGAGGAACAGGGGTAAAGGGAGAGAGAGGGAGGACCACAGGGGTAAGGGGAGGGGGGAGGAGGGACGTAAAGAGTAAGGGAAGAGGGGGGGGAGGAAAGGGGGAACACCAGAGAGAGAGGTGAAGGGGGATGGGAACCACGGGGGGGGGGGGGGCTGGTCATTGCCGTAGTTTTTTTTTCGGGAAGGAAAATGTATTCTATTTGTTTGCGGTTTTGAGACGAGGCTGAAGGTAAATTTAATGCCTCGGAAAACAATTTGCGATAAACGTTAAAAATCATATGTGTGTGTGTGTGTGTGTGTGTGTGTGTGTGTGTGTGTGTGTGTGTGTGTGTGTGTGTGTGTGTGTGTGTGTGTGTGTGTGTGTGTGTGTTGTGTACATCGCAGAGATAAAATATTCATCTATCTTTAATGTATGTTAATATCCTTACATTTGCGAGCATTTGTTATGATAGCACCGAAGTCTCACTAAATCTTCGTGACGGCGAATCTATCTTTATCGTCCGAAAGGCAAGTGTCTCCTGAAGCGAGCCAAATTTAGCAAAAGATACAAAGCAGACGGGAAGGAGCCACGACACTCTGCAATCAATAAATTTCAAGTTGCACGACGCCGCTTTGGTTATGTAAAATACAGCAGCGAAAGGCAAAACCGCAGGCTGCCAAGGGTCACATCTCATATATATACGTGTGTGTATGTGTGTGTGTGTGCGCGTGTGTTTGTGCGTGTGTGTGTATGTACGTGTGCGTGTGTGTCTGTGTGTACATATACACCCACACATGTAAGCGCGTTGCTGCTGTTGTTGGTGTGTTTTCATGTCGTTGACTTAACTTTTAAGGGAATCGCCAAGTTCGGACGAGTGCGAAGTGTTTTCCCGAGAAACAATTCTCGAGTGGCTTAACAATTCACTGACCTCGACTGACCTTGAGCGACCACGAGGTACGACCACGGCTATAACGTCATAGCGCGTATTTGCAGTCATATAAAGACTCGCAAAAAGAGAGAGAGAAAAAATGGGAACGAAAATACGAGAGGCCGCGAGACGAAACATCAGAGGAACGTTAAATTCACATACAAGCTACGTTCAGGTAAGTTGTTTGTTTGTTTATTTTTCACAGTGTATTCATACCTTCAAAACGAAACGAAGCTGCGTAAGATAAAGCGTAGAAATGCGTCATTTCGGCTGCAAAATGGAATTATTTGAACGGACGAATGTAAACAAGAAGTCGTGATTTTAGCAAATCCCTGGAAATGCTCGATTTGCAAACTTTAAACGGACTTTATGTAAAAGTCAATATTACTCTCTCTCTCTCTCTCTCTCTCTCTCTCTCTCTCTCTCTCTCTGTCTCTCTCTCTCTCTCTCTCTCTCTCTCTCTCTCTCTCTCTCTCTCTCTCTCTCTCTCTCTCTCTCTCTCTCTCTCTCTCTCTCTCTCTCTCTCTCTCTCTCTCTCTCTCTCGCCGCTATCTCTATCTCCCCATGCGCATTAGATCTCGAAAGAGAGAGACTTTAAACACCCCCGAAAAGACCACAAAGTGTCACCGACAATAAAGTTTTGTTTTATCTGCGCCGGCGTCTGCGATGCCATCTTGTCTCTCCTGCAAAGGCTTTAGAGAAATATTTTTGCCGAAGAAGAAAGATCTGTCCTTCAAACACCGCGGGTTAAAAAAAAAGTTAAAAAAGAAAAACGTCATTCTTCACTCGAACAATAGGGTACACATTTTTGTCGAATGTGTACAGTCTTTCGCTCTTATACGACCGAGTGGGTTAGCACTGTTGACATGGCATTGTGGAGACAAGATTTAGAACTATTTTTTTGGAAGATTTCGAGAATATAAATGTCTTATTATTATCTAGCACACAGGAGACAGAAGCAATTACATTTGCAGAGGTATCACTACATATATATATATATATATATATATATATATATATATATATATATATATATATATTTATGTATGTATGTATGTATGTATGTATATATGCATGTAGGCATGAAATTACAGTGACCTTGTCAGTCGTTTCGCGGTACTTACTGTCCATACGGTCTTCAGTCACGCGAACTTTATCCCGAAAACCGACCTTAATCTTATCCATCACAGCGTGTTTACGAAGGCTTGTCCGAACGCGACCTGGAAAAACCGACCTAACACGACCCGAACAGGTCACTTTACTCCTGTCCCTAGCCCTCCAAAACGGGGGTCAGTAAGGGCGAATTTTCCCTCCGATAAAGGAAGATTCTAATCCCTAAGCGCAGGTCTGTCTGTTCTATCTGATCAGTTAATCACCGGCCGAAGACTGGGTCCTCAACTACTCGCTTGATTAATTGCCCAATCATTATCGCTTAATCACTTAGCCAAATATTCTGGGAAGTCAAACGACCTGTTAACATATGATAGACAAAAAGAGAGAAGTGAGGGAGGAATACATAATGGTGGTGGTGGTCGTCGTTGTGGTGGTTGTCGTTGTGGTGGCGGAGGTGGAGGTGATGGTGATCGTCGTCGTTGTGGTGGTGGTCGTTGTGATGGTGGTGAGGTGGTGGTGGTGTCGTGGTGCGTCGTTGTGATGGTGCTGGAGGTGGTGGTGGTAATGATGCTAGTGCTGGTGATTGATCTGATGATGATGATGATGTGATCTGGAGATGTGATGATGTGATGGTGGTGGTGATGATAGTGGTGGTGATAATGATGATTGATGATGAGAGAGAGAGAGAGAGAGAGAGAGAGAGAGAGAGACATAGAGACAGTCAGACAGAAATCAAGAAATCAAGGCAGAACACAGACACGGATCGAGTCTAAGGTTCCAGAAAATCAACCAAACGTGTGACCTTCACGTCCAAGATTTCGTTTATTTCCGAAATCCTCGCTTGGCAACTGAGTCCCGAGGCGATGATGATAACGATAGCCATAAGGATAGAGTAATGGCGGTGATAGTGATAATGACGATGCCCGCAGTAATAAATGATGATGATAGTAATAGTAATGATAGTGATGATAATAATAACAATGATAATAATAATAATGATGGTAATGATAATTATGATAACAATGATAATAACAATAACTATAATAATAATAATAATAATAATAATAAAGATAATGATGATGGTGGCGATGATGGTGATGGTGATGGTAAAGATGAAGATGATGATGATGATGATGATGATGATGATGATGATGATGATGATGATGATGATGATGATGATGATGATGATGATGATGATGATGATGATGATGATGATGATGATGATGATGATGTTGATGTTGATGTTGATGTTGATGTTGATGATGATGATGATGATGATGTTGATGTTGATGTTGATGTTGATGTTGATGATGATGATGATGATGATGACAATATTAAAAATAATTCAAAGAAAAAATAAATTTCCTCAGAATATTTCCTGTGCTAGGTAATTTACTTCAAATACAGCCTTATTCTCACTCAAAGAATACGGTTATTTACTCAAAAAATGAGAAAATACAAAGACGAAGAATGAACAAAAGAATAAAAACGCACCACCGTCGCTTCGTTCACGGTTTGTTTGCTCTAAAAAAAACGGTCATTAAAAGTGAAGATAAAAAAGATAAAAACGAAAAAAACAAACACCCATTCTTTTTCGTAGAAGGTCGGAACAAAGGTAGGGAAGGAGGGGGAGGAGGAGGAGGAGGAGGGAGGAGGAGGAGGAGGAGGAGGAGGGAGGAGGAGGAGAAGAAAAGAAGAAGAAGAAGAAGAAGAAGAAGAAGAAGAAGAAGAAGAGAGAAGGAGGGGGTGGAGGTGGAGATGGAGAGGAGGAGGGGGAGAGGTGAAGGAGGAAGGAGGAGGGGGTGCAGGTGGTGTTGGTGGAGGTGGAGGTAGTGGAGGAGGTGAAGATTGGGAGGAAGAGACCAAGTTGATAGCAATGTGATTTTTTAAGGTACAAAAAAATGACCGAATGGAAACGAGAAAAAGGAAGAAACACACTCGACCCCAACACACACGAGGCTACGGACCGAACCCACAATCCGAACATGCATTACAAGCTCCTGTAAAACACTAGGTTACAGTCGCTGTTGACGCAGGCCGGGGCGTCAGCAGTCAGGCGTGACAGAAGGGGCGGGCTGAGGGGAGGAGGGGAGGAGGGGCAGGCGGGGAAGATGATGGGGGAGGGGGAGGAGAGGCAGGCGGGGAAGGGGAGGGGGGCGGGCGGGGATGGTAAGGCCCCAGTGTCAACATAAACACATACACGCTGTCAATACAAGGACCCAGCACCATGTCAACAGCAGGCAGGTCTCGGTAAACTCCATACGGTGTTTGTCCAGGGTGTCGCGGCGGTCGGGGAGGCAGTCAGGGCGCGGGTGGGGAAGGGGTTGGGGTGTTCCTCGCCAGGTCTTGAGGCGGGGGGGGGGCGTAGTCTACAAGGGGAGAAAGTAAGCTTAAGATTTAAGGGGAAGGGGAGGTACTGGTCACTAGAGTATGATTTCGGTGGCCAAAGGGTTAACCAGATATTACATTATCTCTTATCTATATCTATTACACATTTTTGCTACATTCACCCTCCTTCTCCCTTTTACATCGTCTCATTAGTGAAGAGAGGAGAAGCTCTGTTTCCCAAAGGAGCTGCAAAATTTGTAATCCTGCGAGTCAATATGGAGTAGAAACAAATTTTTGCTCCATAGCGATGGTCAGCGACGTCTCTCTCTCTCTCTCTCTCTCTCTCTCTCTCTCTCTCTCTCTCTCTCTCTCTCTCTCTCTCTCTCTCTCTCTCTCTCTCTCTCTCTCTCTCTCTCTCTCTCTCA